CTCGGATCTGTGGTCACCCGGCTGAACAGGCGGCCCAGGGCCCAGGCACGATGGTGGTTTTATTCTTGTGGCCACACCTGGTTCAAAACAACAGAAGTGAATCCACCGAGCACATGGCAGATAGGAAGAACTCGCAGGTACTTCCTTCCCAAACCAACATCAGCAGTGTCTGCAAAAACACGAAGAGGCAGCTGGTAAAGTCAGCTGAAGCTTACACAGTCTCTGAGGACAAGCAGTAAGGTTGTCCTTGACCAGGGTCTTGTGTCTTGGGCCACCACTGCTACCTGTGCCCATAGAACTTCAGAGCAGGCATAAAATACTGCGATGTGGTACCACCGGGGTCCTGCTTGCAGGACAAAGAGGCTGGCCCTACAAGCCTGACCATCTCATCGAGCCTGACCCTCACAGTTTTCTCCAGAGCTCGCAGTGTCTTGTGCTGAAGAAAGAATATAATCTTTCCAGGATTGTTTCTTTATCCCCTCCTCCCTCCTGAAATATTGTGTATTTCGAAGCTGTTGCAACAAAACCCAAGCAAAACACAGGGGAGCTTGTTCTCCACAGTGTTGCTCTGAGCACAGTTTTGCAGAGTTGGTGTAAAGCCGTGAAAAACAGGGCGAGCTCGGAACACTCCCATTTCGCACTCACTTGGTGTGACTGTAAACAACCGCACAGCAATGGAAAATCCCAGAGCGGCGTGCCCCTTGCCTGCAGAACTTCGCTGGCCTTCCAGGAATCGGCAGCAAGGCAGTTATTTACAAATCTGGAAGTGAGGCTTTGGGGATGCACGGCTCTCGCTCACACAGCGCTGGATGTGAGGGTTTACCAGTGCGATCTTCCAGGACTCTGATAAGAATTACACAGTTAAAGCCTCAAGCACCAGTGTGAAAATATTGTCACTGAGCGTGTAATTCTACGCTCAGGGCTTTCAGGTCCCCTCTCCAAGAGACCGGAGCATGGATCGGTTGTTGTACGGACAGTCTGTGCCGCTCTGAGCTTCACCACGATAGCTGGAGTCGTGTGCTTGGGCTGGAGACCAAATACAAAACCGTAACGAGATCACGTATTTCATCTGGTACCGCTCATAATTTTTAGATGTTTCTTGCATGCAGTGTGCAGTCGCTAGGGCAGGAGCCGGGGGGGGGTTCAAAGGCTGGCCCGCTTTTCCCACTCGGCTTCAAATTCTCCTTTATGCTGAGGAAATGATCTAACTGCTCCGTGAGTATTTCCATGCCCCTGCAGTGGAGATGCTACCTGCCTCCCTTCTGCAGAGCAGCCCACCGTGAGAGGTACCATGGGCCTGAGTCAGTGTCATTTGGAAGGAATTTGTCCCTGACTTCCAGGGAGCAGGATGAGGCTCTCTGTGTTTGCTGTCACCAGCATTAAGAGCTGTGCATCATCGTGGGTAGACATTAATTAGCATGTGCAATAAAACTACCAACCACCTCACCGATCTGAGTGGCTTCTGGTAAGAGACACACGTGGGTCTTACCTTGTGGGTCTTGGGCTGGGCGGTGTACTGAAGGAGGGGTTGTCCAGGACCCAAGCAGTTAAATTGGTATAAATCTGGAGTAATTTAACGATTTATAGAGGTGTATTTGAGATTAATTGACAGAAGGAGCAAACCTGAGTATCTTGCAGTGAAAAGGATGAGTTCTGAAGTGGCAGATGCAGGCTGGAAAGCTTCATAATTTAACCTGCAAATTTAAGAATCTTTTTTGTGTGTGTGTGTAGAAGTTTTACTGCTGCTTGCAAACAGAAAATGAGACAATTATCAACGAGATTCATATTTATTTTTTATTCCCTCAGAAGGTGCAATCTACATTAACCTTCAACCTTCAAGTGGAAATAGTGGTTTGAAAGAAAAGGGAGGAAAAAAAAAAAAGACGGATTTTTCCTTGGCATCTGGGAAAAAAAAATCTTTTATTCTAAAATTATCAACAGGTATTTTCCATAGAAATTAGCGGGGGGGGTGGTGGGGAGGGCAGGGGATAAATGGGAGGGGAATGCCTGATTTGAGGTGAGGGGGGAGGCGGGAAGGCAGCGACACTCGGGCCACCCTGAAGGACGCGTCAGTTTCTCCTCT